CCCTGTCACGAACAGAGCAGGGCGGATAGGGAGGTTGTGGCCCCGCCCCCTGTCACTCACAGAGCCACAGGGCGATCAGGGGGTTTGGGCGCTGCCCCCTGTCACGCTGATCCCGGTGCTGGGAGCCTTGCTGCTCCGCTGATCCCGGTGCTGGGAGGCATATTACCCTTTTACTATATAGGATAGAGGCCTGGTGCATGGGTAGGGGCTGGCTGGTTTGCCCTGAAGGGTGTCCTGGATCAGGGTGGGGGTCCCCACTGGGGTGCCTGGCCAGTCTGGGTGAGGGGCTGAGGCTGTTTTCCGGCTGGAGAGTGACTGAAGCTTCCAACCGCTCCTTGTTTTCTTTTTTTTTTTTTTTCATTCTGGGCCAGCTTTAGCTCTGAGGCCTCGCTGCTGAAAACATTGATACAATGTTTCGGTCTGGCTGGGTTTCAGTCCAGCTGTTTTCTGGGGTTTTGTTTACCTTCTTATTTGCAACATAGTACATAGTTGCTTAGACTTGCAGATGAGAGGCCGGCAAGTGAGGCGGGGAACGTTGGAGTCTGCAGCAAGCAAGCCTCGTTCACTTCCAGCTGCCTGGCTGCCGGCCACCATCTTGGCTGACAGTTAATTTGCATATACTCACTGATTAGCCAATGAAAAGGGTAGTGGTCGTACGCTAATTACCACGTTTCTCTTTTATTAGTGTAGATTGTATTATTTTCATATGAACAACTGTAAATCTACTTTTGCCCCATCCTGTATAGTATAATTGTCTTTGCTCTGAAGTCTACTTTATTTGATATTAATACAGCCTTTCCTGCTTTCTTTTGATTAATGTTTATATATGTCTTTTTGCATCTTTTTTCTTTTGACCTGCCTATATCATTATAATTGAAGTGAGTTTCTTTTTTTTTTTTTTAATATATTTTATTGATTTTTTACAGAGAGGAAGGGAGAGGGATAGAGAGTTAGAAACATTGATGAGAGAGAAACATCGATCAGCTGCCTCCTGCACACTCCCCTCTGGGGATGTGCCCGCAACCAAGGTACATGCCCTTGACCGGAATCGAACCTGGGACCCTTCAGTCTGCAGTCCGACACTCTATCCACTGAGCCAAACCGGTTAGGGTTGAAGTGAGTTTCTTATGAACAGCTTATTGTTAGGTCATGCTTTTTAATTCACTTTGCTAATTAGCATATTTTGACAACGTTTATTATAATTACTAGAGGCCCGGTGCATGAAATTTGTGCACGGGGCCGGGGGTTGTCCCTCAGCCCAGCCTGCACCCTCTCCAATACTGGGATCCCTCTCACAATCCAGGACTGCTGGCTCCCAACCACTCGCCTGCCTGCCTGCCTGATTGCCTCTAACTGCTTCTGCTTGCCAGCCTGATCACCCCCTAACCACTCCCCTGCCAGCCTGATTGACACCTAACTGCTCCCCTGCTGGCCCTGATTCCCCCCAACTGCCCTCCCCTGCCGGCCTAGTCACCCCTAACTGCTCTCCCCTGCTGGCCTGATTGCCCCCAACTGCCCTCCCCTGATGGCCATCTTGTGTCCACATGGGGGCGGCCATGTTGTGTGTTGGAGGGATGGTCAATTTGCATATTACTCTTTTATTAGATAGAATTGTTATATTAGGGCTTACGTTTGCCATTTTATATTTGTTTTCTATTTATGTTGTTTTACATTTTTCTGTTTTCTTTTTTCCTGCCTTCCAGTGGGTGCCTTATCTGTAATGTTTTTGAGTATGGCTTTTTTAGTTATTGCTTTAGCTGTTACATTTGTATAACTTATCATAGGTTAATGGGGACTTCATTTTGTTACTTCCAATGAAATATAGAAATCTTACCTTACTTTCTTTTTACTCTCTGTTCAATATATAACTGTCTTAAATGTTTTCTTTACGTACTTTTATAACCACAATTTTTGCTTCAACCATTAAACATAATTTAGAAAACTCAAGAGAAGAAAAGCTTATTGTATTCTCCACATTTTGTTTGCTGTGTTCTTGCTTCCTTTTCCTGATGTTTTGAGATTCAGTCTTTTATTATTTCCTTTCTGCTTAAAGGATATCCTTTTACCATTCTTTTAGGGTAGGTCTGTTGGCAACATATATTTTTGTTTTCCTTTATCTGGGAATGTTTTGATTTTCTTTTCCTTCCTGAAGCATATTTTCCTTGGGTATACAATTCTGGGTTGATGTTTTGTTTTGTTTTAGTACTTGAAAAAGTGCCACTTATGGCCATTGTGGTTTCTGGTAAAAAGTTGGCTGTTATTCACATTGATTTTCCCCTATAAATAAGAGGTTATTTTTTTCTGGCTGCTTTCAAATTTTTTTCTTTAACTTTTAGTTTTCAGAAGTTAATGTGGTGTGGCATAGATAGCTTTGCTTTGATCCTGTTTGGGTTTCACTAAACTTCTTGAATCTGTAGGCTCTTGCTTCTTACCAAATTTGGGAAATTTTTAGCCATTATTTCTTATAGTATATATTTAGCTGCTCTCTTTTTCTCCTCCCCTTCCAGGTCTCAGAGGATCCCAATGTTAGACCTCATTTCATGGTCGCGTAGGTCCCTGATGGTTTGTTTATTGTTTTTTATTGTTTGTTTTTTGTTTTTCAGTTTGTCTTCTCTCTGTTGTTGAGACTAATTTCTAATGTTCTTTCATCAGTTTGTTGATTCTTTCATCTGTCCCATTTATTCTGCTGCTGAGCCCATCTCCTTTTTATGTGGTTTTGTGTTTTTCTGTTCTGAGATTTCCATTTGGTTCTTCTTTATGTCTTCTGGGATTTTTTGTTGTGAATTTCTTTTTTGTTGATGTTGATTTTGCTTTCTATTTTTTGTTTTGTTTTACTTTCAGGTGTTTTTGTGTTACTATTTTGAAGCATTTTTATGAGGGCTCTTTCAAAACCTTTGTTATAGAATACTAACATTTCTGCCATCTAAGAGCTGTCATCTGTTGGTTGTCTTTTTTCATTCAGCTTAAGATCTTTCCCTTTATTTGTATGGTGAGTAAGTTTCCATTGAAAACTGCACATTTTTACCCTAACCCTAACCTAACCCTGTTACTTAAACCTTCTCTGCCAGCTGGTTTTCTGTGGCGTTGCCCTGGCTGGGGAAGGGTGTGTTGCCCTTTACTGCCAGGTGGAGGTTTCCCACTTGGCCTCCATTGGCACCTGGGGACAGGCCCTCATTTCATTCCAGCGCCTGCTTGCTGTCCACCACCTCCATGGTGGGGTTGTCCTTGTTACTGCCAGTGATGGTGAAAGTCTTAACCCTCCACTAGGCTTCTTCTGAAACCATGCCTGCTGGGAGGTGAGAAGCCTGGTTCTGCTGGGCAGAGGTGGAATCCAGGCTGCCTGTGTGGGCTGCACTGCCTCAGCTGCAGGGGAAAAGGGTGGGTCGTTACTAGCTGGCGGGGATGAAGGCTGCTCCCTTCTTGGCCTTCTCCGAAGTCACCTTGGGAATGTTGGGCTCCTCTTTGCAGTCTCGAAAGGATGGACATCTTGATTTCCTCTTTGGCCTTTGATGATGTGAGTGAGGTTAAGGCCACAGTTTTCTTGTGGTATTTTGCTAGAGTAGAGCAGTTATTGTCTAAACATTTTCTGTCTTACTATGCTAGGCTGCCCCTTCCCTAGTTCTTTGGCTAGAGACAGCAAACTTTTGTCTAGTGTTTGTGTTTTTTTTTTTGTATCCAAAGACTTTTATGCCAGCGTTTTCTGTAAAAAGTCAGGAATATATGAAAGAAAAAGGAAACCCAGGGAATTCATTGTCATGTTTTCCATTGTGTCTCAAGGTCCTTATCAGTCTTCTGTTCTCTCTTCGCCTTTCAGTTTTACATTTGTTTCATATAAAATGACTGGGGCTTTTAGTCGTACTTAGGAGGAATAGAGGAAAGGATGTGTGTTCCATCTTTCTACAGGTGAAAGTCTTCTGAGTTCATTTTTAAGTGGTTAGCACTTTATGTGTCAAATATTTCTTCTAGTAAAATTTTCTAGTTATAATATTGGATTAAAAATGTATTTCATAGCTAAACTAACATAAGATACAGAATTATTTTCTAAAGGCAATAGATGATCATCAGTTTGCCTAATGTAAGAAGCCAAAACTTTAAAAAAAATAATATATTATGTATGACACAAAAACATGGACAACAATGTAGTGATAGCCAGATAGAAAGGGGGTTGTGGGGAGGAGAAAGTGGACAAAGAGGGATAAACGGGGCGGAAAGAGACTTGACTTTGGGTGGTGAGTGCATGATGTGCTATGCAGATGATGTCTTATTGAGTTGTACACTTGAAACCTGTATGGTTTTATTAACCAGTGTCACCCCAATAAATTCAATTTAAAAAAAAACACCACAAACCTTTTACATCTAACTCTGCTTTCTGTGCCTAGGTTGGGGCAAACACCATGGATAATCCTCTGTTGAAGTACAGTGCAAAGGATTACTTCTTTAAAGCTGCCCTCTGTCACTTCATAGTCGATGAGTTGAATGCCAAGGTATGATCAGTCCTTAGTACTAGTTTTCTGATGCACATTGCCCATGAGAGCAGGCCTCACTCAGGTACTCTGTTGTTCTTGGTATCACTTGGTTTGGGTGATATTCGTTAGTTGCAAGACTAAACTGGGTACCTTAAAAAAAAAAAATGACACCTGTTTATGAGTTTTAAGAATTAGATTTGGTTTACAACATCTTCTCTATAGCAACCTAATTCTGGAAAATTGTTTTAGAACTAGATTCTTAACTGAAATTGAAAATCAGAATAGATAGGAGTCCTGTGTTGATTTTGATGAATTTAACACATACTTATACAATTAAATAGGACGTAGATGAGTCTTACTAAAGCTAATAGAATGTTCAGCCCCAGCTGGTTTGGCTCGGTGGATAGAGCTTCGGCCTACGAACCAAAGGGTCCCAGGTTCGATTCCAGTCAAGGGCATCTGCTCGGGGTTGCAGGCTCTATCTCCAGTAGGGGGCATGCAAGAGGCAGCCAATCAATGATTCTCTCTCATTATTGATGTTTCTATCTCTCTCTCCCTCTCCCTTCCTCTCTGAAATCAATAAAAATATATTTAAAAAATAAGAATGTTCAAAGCTGTGTTTCCTGGTTTAGTGAGTCAGACATTAACAAGTGTTTTTTCTCTCTCAGCTGGCTCTTGAGAAATATGAGGAAATGTTTCCAGCATTTACTGATTCAAGAGAATGTAAATTATTGAAAGTAAGTAATATTAGGACTTTGAAGAAAAAGCCTTTGCTGTCAGGTGGAACTGGGTGTGAAGTGAAGGATAAATCTGTGGAGTCTGCGGAAGAGCCTTTCCTACTTTCGCATATTAGGTTTCAAATGCCACTGAGAGTCAGGGATAGAGTGTTGTGTTCCGAAGCAGGCAATTCAGAAATGTTAGCACAAATACTGGACCCAGGGCTTGGGGTAATTCTTTATTTGTACTTGAATATTTCTCCAATTTTATAAAGTATTTAGCAACATCAGTTAATGTGATACTAAGGCTACTTCTGTATTTAAAGTATCTCTAGTCACAGATGGAACTTTTTTAGCCTACCAAACTAATTTTTCCATATGTATGTTACTAGAAACTTCTAGAAGCTCATGAAGAACAGAACAGTGAAGCTTACACTGAAGCAGTAAGTTATGTCTTTGAAATATAATACATACTTCGAAGGTTTATTACAGGAACTCTTTCTTCTTTTCATTGTGTAAATGTGAACATTTATTTGAACATTATTCCAGTATACCTAATTGTATTTTCCAAAGGTCATGTTTTTAATATCCTGCAAACCTATACAATTGTATGGTTTCATTAGCTATGGTGAATTTAACTCTAAGGCAAATTCAAGAAAAAAAAATCATATACTGTTATAATTTGCTGTTTGAATGTTTTCTTTTGAAAATAATATGCTCTGTAAGTAAGTGTGAAGTAAAATCAGTTCAGTACAATTTAAAATATAAAAACAAAGCAGTAAGAGTTTGCTGTATTCCAGGCATAACATAAATGGAAGATTTTTTCTTTATATTCATCTATCTTCTGTTTTCCCATCTTTTGCCATCTTATGTTTAGAGTCAAACAAGTTTCTCAGTATCTGCCATTAATATATTTATCATGGCTTTGAAGCAGTGGTGGGAAGGAATGTTTTCCCATTTAACTTTTGCTGCAAAACCATTTACATCCTATTGAAGTCTTATTCTTTATTAATATGCTGCAGTGAGTTAAAGGAATCCTGCTTCCATACATCCTGTCTCTGCAAATACCTTTTTTCTTGTTCAGTGAATATTGGAACACTGTTAATTTTCCATGTTCCCTTCTAAGTCTTATATACGGTCTAATTTCCTTTGTAATATTAATTGTGATCTTCTTCCAATTATAAAGGCTGTTAGGGATTTTTGTCATCACATGTTATATACAGAGCAATATAAAAGGCACAGAAACTTAATAGCTCCATCAAAAAAGGCAGATAATAATGAAAAAATAAATAATTTTTAATGACTGTTATGAACTGGAATTAATAATTTTAAATGAAGAAAGTTGGTTGATTATCACTATTTAAATTTTAACAGCTGCTTTATTTCCATTGTATTTCCATAGACTAATTCCTGTTCCTCTAACCTTAAACTAGGTGAAGGAATTTGACTCAATATCTCGCTTGGATCAGTGGCTTACTACCATGTTGCTTCGTATCAAAAAGTCCATCCAAGGGGATGGAGAAGGAGACGGAGACCTAAAGTGAAACATTTATACGTCTTTGTGGCATGCAGCTAACTCCTTTTTAGTTCCTCTTAGGGCCAAGTGATCTTTATGGGATGCCCATCTAATGGCTTACTTTTGTTGCACATGAACCAAACGATGCGTGTGTGTTTGCCGTGTTTATATCACTGTTAAGCAAATGGATAAAAGAATCTCCTGTGCATATTGTGGGTGTAATGGGCTATTTCATGCTTGCCAGAGTCCCCAGCGTTTCCCGAGTCCTACTTCAGAATTTTATTGTTTGATATTTGCAGAGTCATGTTTAGTTTTGCCACATATTCTGTCCTTTTTCTTGGACTTGAGTATCTAACCCAATTTGCTCTAATCGCTGCTTTGCATACTCTCTGTAAATCTGCATCTGGATGTATTCTCTAAGTGTATGTATTTAGTTTAGGGTGGTTGTTAGGAATCAGTTGATGACTTTCTTTATTATAAATTTGTTGTTGTTACCTTGTGATTTTTTGATGATACTAATGACCAGTTTCTGCTTTTGATATTGTTCCCTATGCTAACATGCATGTGAAAATTCGGAACACAGGTCTGCCTGCATCACTTAAACTTGCTTATGTGTGTGGATGAATGTCAAGGTGGGTTTGACTGCTTTGTATTTACACACACACACAAATATATAAGATCTATGAGAAACGGAAATTTTCCTTTTCCTAGACCTGGTTTCACTTTTAGTTGGCGGGGAAATCCCTTTTTTTATATTCACATAAAGGTGGTGTAACTGGCATACCCCTTCTCTTTACTTTCATGGTCATACTCTTTCCCACATTGAGATGCCTTCCTTTATGCCACAGTCATGCACATCCTCACTAGGCCCAGAGATTATAAGTCAAAGCATGAGAAAGGGTTTCAGTAATTTTATCCACTTATCGACCATGATGGGTTAGGTAGGGTATATATGGTACAGAGGTTTACTATATGCCTCCAACTAGCTTCTCAGGAGACTGTATTTTCTTCTTAGCTGATGGGATTGTTTTAGCTTTTGTATTTGAACTTTGAATTCTATCCTTTTATTTTACATGATAAGTGCTCTATTAATTTACGAACTTGACCCCTACCCATTATGTTACATGCTGACATTGTACTGAGATGTGATCTTGTTTTTTGAATCTCCTTTGTACATATTTTTTTCTTGTTAATTCTCACCCAAGGATATTTTTTCCCATTGATTTTTTTAGAGAGAGTGAATGGGAGGGGTGGCGAGAGAGGCGGGGGAGAAACATTGATGTGAGAAAGACACATCAATTGGTTGCCTCCTACACGTGACCCAACCAGGGCCTGGGATCAAACCTGCTACCCAGGTATGTGCTCTATACCAGGAATCAAACCCATGACCCTTTGGTGCGCTCTAACCACTGAGGGAAACTGGCCAGAGCTCCTCTGTGCATATTCTTAGGCTTAAGTGATTTATGTTTGATGTGCATTTGTTGCCATATATAGCCTGTGTTTTTTTCTGACTTGTGCTGCTCTCATTAGTGACACGTAATGAAATTTCCCATGTTATGTTAGATAGTAACTAGTATTTAAATGATGTTTTCATTTTTGGGTGGCCCTCAACTGGAATGAATAGGTTTTGTTGGATAGAAGTAGAATGTGCCCAGACAAAGAGCTCAGTGAGGAAGAAGGTTTGGGGATGGTGAATAGGTTAACCTGGGCTGAAGGAGAAAGTAGCAGAAAAAGAAAAGGGCAGCTGAGGCCCAGCTGTGGAGGCTGTTTCTCAGGTGGCTGAGGATTCCCTGGCTGTACCTGCAGAGTGATGTGTGCAAGGTGGGCTGATGGAGAGGAAGGCGTTGTACTATCATCTGAAGGCAGAGGGAATGGACCAGAAGACACAGGCACTCTCGAGTTGGGTCCTGGAATCTGATAAGGATTTATTTTTTCCTTCAAAAGTCAGGGATTTTTAAAAGAAAGCTGGCTATTACAGTACAAATTTTAATGGAGCTTGTTTGGTACTTTACTTCCTGTTGGACTCTCTTATGAAAATATTTTAGAAAAGTGGGGTTTTGTTGCTTTATATTCCACAACCACCCAACTGTGCTTTTGTAACAAGCTTTTTTCCAAATGCACTTTTGCAGCCCGTGTCCTCTGGCCATAGGTCTGCCCATCTGAAGAGCATGTAAATCCCAGCCAGTCAACATGCTTCTTCCATCACTAGTTTAGAAAGTGTGTTTCCACTCTTTAAAAGAGCCTTCTGGTCTGACCACTTAAAAGTAAAAACTAAATGCTTTTGTTTTAAGGCAGTTCCATTTAGCTTTCTCGTGATTCCTTAACAAATGCACCTGAAAAAGAGGTATGGTTTTTAAAAAATAATATTGGTAACATTTTGTGATGTCAGTCAGGGACTTGCTGTTTTGAAATAAACAACGATATCAGTGCCTGAGTTAAGAATTTTCAAATATTTCACATGAAAGAGTAAAAATAACTGTGATGACTAGAACAGACTTGCTAGGTAAAAGGAAAAGGAGAGGGAGAAAATCCCATTAACAATATCCAAACTTCCTTCCTTGAAATGTTCCATTGTTGAATGTAGGGTAGTGCCGTGACACAGAGGCCCAAGGTATGTTCTCAGGATCTAGAGAATGTTATTTATGAACAAAATGTAAAGACTGTTATGTTATAGTTCTTGTATTTTAGCAAATCGAGGGTTAGTTCATAGTCAAAATCAGTGGTGGCAACATTTTTATAGCTTGTGCGAGTTCCTTTTTTATTTAATGACTTAAAAACAGTATTTTTGCAGTTGTGACTGTGTGTGATGATGTCACTATAATCAAAGTGTGTGCATTTATTGTTTCCTCTGATACTGTGCATTTAAAATATTCAAATGCAAACCTGTGGCTTCCTTGGAGGGTTTGGCAGCACCGCATGCTGCCTGTGACCCACCCAGGGGCGTGCGTGCAGGGTCCTGCCTGGGAAGTTGAGCCGGTCACTGGTGTTCTCTTTCCCATGCTCTCCGGTGGAGTATTGTATTATGGAAACTAACCATAGCAGAAAAGAGTGTGTATGTTTTGTGTGAACTTGTACAGTAAATAAAGTGGAAATTATGAGTAATATTTTTGACAGGTCTTTCCTACCTAAATCTACACAAGTCACAAGTAGCTTCCTTTTCTTGAAGTTGTTCCTATAAGTAGAAGACAGTGAGCATTATTCTCTAGGTTCTTTGTATATGCATTGAAATATAAGTTTGACTATGTTAAAATCTCTATTACTTGGTGGGAATTCAGGGCACTGTAATGGTTTTAGAAGCTGAGGATTTACAAAAAAAGCCCTGGCTTTAGTGTGTTGATACAATCCACAAAGTTTGCACTGACTGTACGCCTCCCATTCTCATCCCTTTCAGCTGCCCTATTAAGGAGTGTTGGGCTACAGTCACTTGCAAAGGTGAGGATTGGTTCACAGAAAACTGCTAGGTGGGGGTGGGGATGAAGGAACCATGAAGCCACTCAACTCTGTTGGCAGTGTGGGCATTTATTTACCTTTGCAGATATCTGTACAGGGTCAACACATGCCCCTGGGGAAGGTTGAACCCCTTTGGCCACTCAGGCCACAAGTTCTATGGAGGAAGAGGGTGCCATGAGGGGTACTGTGGGTCAGCTCATCCCATCAAAGAGCAGTGTTACAGTCTGAGTATATTTACAACTTAAAGATAATTCAAACTAAATTTTGAAAAAAAAATGGTATAACAGGCCATCTTAGGAATCCTGAGAAGCTGTTGATCATTCAAGGTTAGTTTATCTCATAGTCATTATTTCCTAACAGAAAGAAGCCACAATGATGGTTTAAAAACCTGGTTTTGCCAGCCTTGGTAAGAGTCCCTGGAAAATTGGCAAAGGTAAGTGGGTGGTTTCTGGGGCTTGGCTAGGTGACATGCTGTTTGGTCCTCTGACCTGTCTTTGAAGCTTGCTCAGTCATACTGCCCCCATCTAGATACTAGTACATGTGAACAAATGGTCCTTCGCACAAGTGTCCTCCTGCCACTGAAGTAATATGGTTACTTCAAGTTTCACACTGTCAAGTTAAATTAAAGGGACATTCACTCATTTTATCTCAAAAAATGTCTCTGGGTGGCAAGGTATAAAATTTAACAGGTTTGGATTAAATTATAATTCATACTCAAATTTGTTGGTTTGGATTATCGATAGCAAAACCACATTTCTCTTAAAGTTACCTTTAACAAAGGTCTTCTCCCACCACATGACCTATTTTTTCCCAAATTGTAACACAAAAGTTTTGGTAAAACCAAAGGCAGTATAGGTCTTTGGAGTTTGGGCAGAGACTATTTCCCATCCATGGTTGGAAGGCACTAAATCACCTCGCAATTGCCTGCTTGATGCTCGGACAGTGGTCGGCAAACTGCGGCTCGGCAAACCACGGCTCGCGAGCCACATGCGGCTCATTGGCCCCTTGAGTGTGGCTCTTCCACAAAATGCCAGCTCTTCTACAAAATACCGACTTCTGTGCATGGGCCACGAAGTTTCAATCGCACTGTACATGCGCGCCCGCACATGGTATTTTGTGGAAGAGCCACACTCAAGGGGCCAAAGAGCCGCATGTGGCTCTCGAGCCGCGGTTTGCTGACCATGGCTCTAGGAGAAGCAGTGCTAACACCAAGGGCACTTCCTAACCGTGGCGTTAGGACTGACATGGTGAGGCAGTAACTTGCTTCACTCTGGGAGGCTGTACTTGGATGAAGAGAAATAGGGGTAGATTCCCACAAACCCTCAATGATGAGTCTTCCAGTTTTCAGAGTTCTGTTCCCAGACGCAGCTTTACCCTCCTGGGAAGCAGACAAAGAAGTAGATATACTGAAGTCTCTATGATGCAACTTAAACATGACATTGAAGAAACCAGTCCATTTACACACTCCACAGTGCCAGCTGCACAGGTTACTTCTACATAAGCAGAGGGTAGTGTTATTTACCACCAGGCCTTTTATTCCTAGAGAATTAATGTGCAGTCCACATGGTTATAACTAAAGAGATTACTCCTAAGACTATAACCTTGATTTTAAACTTCATTATCCATGACATTAAGGAAATTATACTTGTTTCTATTTACAGAGCCTACATTTTAATAATGGGGGAAAAACTTCAGACTTGGAAAACTATTTTACAAAGCAAACGTTTATTAACACAATAAACGATTTTTTTGTAGAATTTCTAAAGAAACGAATTCAAGACAAAAATTATTCTAGTAGGTAGCAAAATAATCTATTTTTTAAATTCCTTCTCATTAAAATGACTTTACTCCATGAAACAATATATCAGTTGGCCAATTCATTCTCTTACCAAGAATAAAATGGTTGTATGACAGTCAGTTTTTTGTTACTGTTGTTCTGTAAACACATCATTCTCTTACCAAGAATAAAATGGTTGTATGACAGTTTTTTGTTACTGTTGTTCTGTAAACACCACTAGGATATGTTGTCATAACTGTATTTGAAGTAGTTAAGTACTGCTGTCTTTAAGAGCAGGTGTGAAACATGTTATCAGCACCTAAAACACCTTATAGTGGCTTTAGTATGTAACATGTCACAAACTAGAAAATAAGCACATAGGAAGAAAGTCTCTCATTAGTTCCTGGCATAGTATAGCTGTGTTCATCCTGGAACTTATGGATAAGTTCTTTCTCTTAGAACTTTTCTCAAAAATTAAAGTGTTTCACAGCAAGTCAATAAATTAAAATGTAGAAAAACTGGTAAACAAAAGACTTTAAGGTTGTTTAAATTAATATGTTTAGGGTTACATATGAGTCACGGCTACATACAAAAGCCACTGGAACCAAGAATCAAGCTTAGCAAATACAGCAGAATTATCTTTTCATTGTAAAGTCCAGCATGAGACAGCCGAAGGAGCATTTAAGACAAGTATTGGTTCTTCACAATCTACTCTTAAGGCATAATCAATGATGTGTGCCAAGGCTTTTGGTCCCTTCTGCTATATTCTCGCATACTCCCGAGGAAACAAATGTGTGACATTTACCTGCCTGTTTCTAGCTCTTGATTTGGCAATGAGAAAGTTCTGATTTTCTGAAAATCATGAAAATTAAATCAGAAAAACCAGGCAGAAATACTAATACTCTGTGCTCTAAGATTAGCCACAATCACCTCATTGCTACTCATCAGTAAAATGACTACATAAGTTTCAAGTGTTCTAAAGCCTCTTGCTTAATTTTTCGTACCTCTGCAAAAATAAAAAGAAAATACTAGTTTGCTACTAAAATCTTTGGTAGGACAGCT